TGGTCCTCCATTGTGCCACCTCAGAGTTGGCCTTGGAGAGCGAGCGCTGGAGCTCAGCCTTGGCTTCTGTCTCCTCCTCGTACTGCTCCCGCAGCAGGTCACAGTCATGTCGGGCCGACTGGAGGGCATGGGCCAGTGCATTCTTGGCCTGCAAGAGAGAAGTGCGGAGAAAGTGAGCTTAAGCTACATCTTGGTCCTCAAACTGTGTAAGCAGTGTTTTTTCTAAGCCCAATGTTCTCTAGAACATCCCAACCAAATTCAGCACCTCTAGACCCATAGAGATCTAGAGATGGGTGTGTCTAGTCTGGTCCAGTTCAACTTTCCCTGCTCCAATGACACCCAACCACCCATAGACCAACCCAGGTGCCTCACAATTGGCCTGCTCAGCCCACCCTATCAGCTGTTAAATTCAACCAAACTCAACCATGAAACCATAGGTGGAACCACCCAACTGAACCAGCCTGAACTTGAACTTTTTTGGTGCTACCACCATGAGGGTAAAGGACACCTTGTCTTGTCGTCCTTCTGGAGACCCTCTCAGCCACCCCACAAACCTCACCTTCATCTCTTCCTCTAGCTGCCTCTTCAGGTCTTCCATTTGCTGAGTGTATGACTGCTTGCCCCTGGTTAGTTGAGAGACAAGAGCCTCCTTCTCCTCGAGTTGTCGGGACAGCTCTCCTGCAAGAGAGAGGTTTTCAGGTGGGAAGAGAGGTTTTCAGGTGTGTGGAAGGGAGTGAAGATGCGGATCAGGGGCTGAAGATGTGGGGTGGGGGGTGTGGTGGGTCAGGGTTCCCACCATTCTCGGTTTGGAGCTTAGCCCGTTGGGTGCTGGTATCATTAAGGACTCGTTGGGTCTCCTCCAACTTGGCCCGGTGTTCAGCTGCCTGGTCCTCCATGGTGCGAGAGACCTTCTCCATACCCACCTTGGAGGAGGAAAGGATGGAGGGGAGTGATGAAGCAGAAGGATGATGCCCAGGGTGGAGATGAGGTGTCCACCTTGGCCTTCTTTTACCTTGGCCTTGATCAGCTGTTCCATGTTGGAGCTGAGGTCATCCAGCTCCAGCTTAAGCTCACTCTTCTCCTTCTCCAGCTTCTGCTTGACACGCTGTAGGTTGTCAATCTGCTCGCTGAGCTCGGCCACACTGTCAGCGTGCTTCTTGCGCAGCGCAGCAGCTGTGGCCTCATGCTGCAGAGTCGCCTCCTCCAGGTCTCTCCGCATCTTCTGGAATTCTGCCTCCCGCTTCTTGTTGAGCTCAATTTGCACTGAGGTGACACCACCCGCCTCCTCCAGACGCTCACTGATCTCCTCCAGCTCCCGTGACAGGTCTGAGCGGAGCTTTTCCACCTTGGCCCTGCCCGTTCTCTCTGCCTCCAGCTCTTCCTCCAGCTCCTCAATCCGCGCCTGAGTTCAAGAGATGGAGGTGCTGTCAGCAGACTTGGCTCCATCTGGCTTCTCCACTCAACCAGTTGAGCTGAAGTGCCTTTAACCCAACTTAACCCAACAAGCTGAAAACTCTTCAACTCAGCCCAATCAGCTGGAGGGTCTCCAGCCCAACCCAACTCAGCAGAAAATAGATCCCTCACCTGCAGCTCTTTCAGCTTCTTCTGGAGCTGCAGGGCCAGTGCCTGCTCATCCTCAACCTTGCTGTTCTGCTGGTTGATCTCAAACTCTTTCCTGCAGATGAAGGCAGTTAGCAGTGAGGTCCTTGTCTTCTCCCCCTGACTACTTTAAACTGGGGAAGGAGGTCCAGCCTTACTTCTTGAGCTTCTCCTCCAGCTGCTGCTTGTCATTCTCCAGGTCCATGATGTTCTCCTGGGTCAGCTTCAAGTCGCCTTCCAGCTTCCTTTTGGCCCGTTCCAGGTCCATCCGGATCTTTTTCTCCTGTTCCAGGGAGCCTTCAAGCTGCGTGGAAACATAGAAATGGCACAAGACCTCAGTTTTTCATCATCTCTGCCCCAGTAACCTCTTCAGCATTACCCATGTTGGGAGCAGCCCACACTCACATCATCCACTTGCTGTTCCATCTTGAGTTTGGCCTTTGTCAGGGTGTTGACCTTGTCTTCCTCTGCCTGCAGGTCATCCAGTGTTTGCTGGTGAGATTCTTGCAGTGCCTTCTTCTCTTTTGTTAACTTGGCAATGGTCTCATCCAGCCCGGCCATCTCCTCTGTGAGGTTCTTGACCTGCAGGAGGAGAAACGTCAGGCCTCCAGCTTGGTACCAAGAATAAAGTAAGAGCTGAGGCACATTGCTGTTGTCCTTGCTAATGAGACCACTTCAGTGGTGGAGAACCCAAAGGACATTGAGTCTTGATGTAGCCTAGATCAACTAGCCTTGGGTCTCCTCAACTGAACACAACCAGGTTGAGTTGACTTAAATCCCCACAGCTTGAAGTCAAGGCCCCTCCTCATCCTTACCTTGTTCTCCGTGGCATGTTTCTCCTTCTCCACCTTGGCCAGAGTCAGCTCTAGATCATCAATGTCCTTTTTCAGCTCTGAGCACTCATCCTCCAGCTTCCTCTTCTTAGCCGTCAGCTCTGCATTCATCTCTTCCTCATCCTCCAGTCTCTCTGTCAGCTCCTTCACCTTGGCCTCGAGCTGGATCTTGTTCTTGATCAGCTGGTCACAACGCTCCTCAGCATCATTGAGGTTGTCCTGCTCCTGTATTGGGGTGGCAGGTGAAGTAGGATGGCCATGGAAGGATAGTGGCCACCCCCCTGACATGTTTTTAGGGGCAGTCTTACTCACAGCCTGTACTTGGAGCTGAAGGTCATTCTTCTCCTGCAGCATGGAGACCATCTTCTCCTCCAACTCCTTCCGCCGAGTCTCTGACTTCTCCAGGGCCTCCTTCAGCCGTCCAAACTCCTCCTTCATGTTCTGCAACATAGCCCAGGAGAGCAATAGCATGTTCAATCCCCTCCATCCATCAACCCCACCCGACGCATATTGGGTCCCAACCTGCCTGCCTCACCACTTCCTCTCACCTGCATTTCCTTCTCTGTTTCAGCACTCTTCAACAAGGGCTTTATCTTGAAGTAGAGCTTCATCCAAGGCCAATTCTTCACCCCCATGAAGGCCCTGATGTTCCACTGGATCACCAGCAGTGAGTCCCTAGAATGGGGAGACAGATGCAGCCACATCACAAGCCTGGTGACCCACCAGTTTCCTCCTCAAGGAGAGAAACTCTTCCCCTCTCACCGGCGCTCCAGGATCTTCTTGAACTCAATGCGCATGAGCTGACCTCGGGCCTGAGCCTGGATGCGGGTGATGATGCGGGAGAGACGCTCATCCCGCATCTCCTCCAGAAGCCCCAGCAGCCCGGCCTTGAAGAAGACCTGGTGGAGGAATGAGGCAAGTGAGAGGGTGGGTTGGTTGGGAAGGGTTAGTGGAAGAGTTGGTGGACAGATGGATGGGTTGCTGGGTTGCTGGGTGGACAGAGGGATGGATGGTGGGGTGGATGGGCAAGTAGACACATTGATTGTGGGACATGTGGGACATGGGGTACATGTGAGCTCATGCATCATGGAACTATGGAAAGACCATGAGATTTCACCTTGGTGTGCCCGAACTTATACTGGTTGTGGTCAATGTCAATGGATCCCAGGAGCTTCTCGGCGCCCTTGCGGCTGTCGATGAACTGCCCCTCGGGGATTGCAGCAGGGTTCAGGATGCGATACCTGGTTGTCAGAGAGGAGAGGAAAACCCTGAGATCAGCCCCAATAGGGTTGTCCATCCCCATCCCACATCTTGTCCTCAGTGCCTACCGCTGTCGGAAGTCCCCATAGAGGATGCGGTTTGGGAAGCCCTTGCGGCAGATGCGGATGCCCTCCAGCACCCCGTTACAGCGGAGCTGGTGCATTACCAGGGGGTTGTCCATTACACCTGGTGGTGGGTTAGAGAGGTGGAGTCAGCCACAAGCCACACATACCACCCCTTCCCCTGCCCTCGGCCCCACTTTGTTCACCTGGTTCCTTCCGCTCATTGGGGATGATGCAGCGAACAAAATGAGGGTGTGTGGTCTTGAGGTTGGCCATCAATTTGTTAAGGTTCTCCTGGTGAGAAGGGAGGAGAGAAGAGGCTGACCAAGGGGAGAGCAGGAGAGAAGCTGGAGTGCTGGAGGGGTGATCCACCACATGGGAGCTTTTCCTGGCATTGCCCCACTCTGTGTCCACTACATAGGTCCCTCACCCGGTGCAGGGCTGATACGGTTTGAAAGGAGGAACCTTTCTTCTTGGCTCCTTTCCCCTTCCCTCCATCACCACCTGGGGAAAAGAAGGGTGGGGTGAGACAGGAAACAGGGCAACTCTGGTGGACAATGGTTTTCTCTATCCTCCTATCCCTCTATCACCCAACCATCCGTTCACCCACCAGCATCTGCCCCAGCGTAGTTGGAGAAGAGGTTGGCCAAGAGCTTCAGGGCTGATTTCTGGTAGAGCCCCACCACTGTCTCATTGAGGGGGTCCTTGTTCTTCTCTAGCCACCCAATGATATTGTAGTCTACTGTGCCAGCATAGTGGATGAGGGAGAAGTGGGCCTCCGGCTTCCCCTTGACATTGCGTGGCTTCCCAAAGTTGGCTGACTTGCCCAAGTGATTATCAAAGAGCTTGGCCTTGAAAGTCATATCTGAGGCCTTGGGGAACATGCATTCCTCCTCCAGAATGGACATGATCCCCATGGGCTGGGAAGAGAAGACCTTGTTGGTCATAGTGAACACCAAGAACAACCCAACTGCCCAACTTTGAGATCTCTGGCAAGCTCCACCTTGAAGGGCCCTTCCCCAGCAGCCCCTTCAGCCCCCAAAGGCCCTAGGGGGAGGTGGCACCTTCTCAATGAGGTCAATGCAGGCCTGGAGGTCCATGCCAAAGTCGATGAACTCCCACTCAATGCCCTCCTTCTTGTACTCCTCCTGCTCCAGCACGAACATGTGGTGGTTGAAGAACTGCTGCAACTTCTCGTTGGTGAAGTTGATGCAGAGCTGCTCAAAGCTGTTGAACTGGGGAAGGAGATGGCCAATGGGGTCAACTGCATTAGCTGAACAGCCAGCAGGGTCAAGAGAACACCCAACAAGATTAGTGGGTCAATCTGAGACCCAACAGGATCAACACCATGCCCAGTAGTGTCAATGAAGTGAACTTAACACCCAGCAGGGTCAAAACAAGGCCCAAAGAGGGTAAGTCTCCACCAGAGTTCCCCCTAAAGCTTCAGAAGATCAGCTCAACGCCTGGCTGGATCAACACAATCCCTAAGAGAACCAGTGCCACTGCCCCACCACCCCCTCAGTCCTCACATCAAAAATCTCGAAGCCAGCAATGTCCAGCACACCGATGAAGTACTGCCGTGGCTGCTTGGTGTCGAGAGAATTGTTGATCCTCACCACCATCCAGTTGAACATCTTCTCGTACACAGCCTTGGCCAAAGCCCCAATGGAGTAGTACACCTGCTGGACATTCTGCCCCTTGGTGACGTACTCATTGCCCACCTTCACCCGGGGGTGACACAACCCCTTGAGAAGATCAGCTGAGTTCAGCCCCATCAGGTAGGCTGACTTGTCGGCATCTGCAGAGTTTGAAGGAGACATGCTGTCAGGTCCCACCTCACCTGGTGACCCTAAAACCTATGTCATCCCCACCACCCGCCTCACCTTCGGTGCCATCTGGTTCTGCCTGCTCTTCCCTTTGCTTCTGCTTGAACTTCATGTTGCCAAAGTGCATAATGGCACCTGTCAGCTTGTAGACACCAGCCTTCTCCTCAGCAGTGAAGCCCAAGACATCAAAAGCGCTCTGGTGGGTGGAGTCAGATGGGAGAGGGCCTTGCCACCCACTCTGTCCAGCTGAGGTCATGGCTGTCTGCTGGCAAGGGTTATGTGCCCTCCCTCTGCTCTTCCAACTTGTCAGCCTGTCCATCCAAGGCCTCATCCATTCATCCATCTGAGGACTGCATCCATCCATCCACCCACCCATCCATGGACTCATCTATCCATGGATTCACCCATCCATCCAAAGACTCATCTCGCTATGGACTCATCCATCCATGAACTCATGGTGGATTCATCCACCATGAACTCCACTCATCCATTCATGGACTCATCCATCCGTTTGAGGACTTTTCCACTTGTGGGCTCATCTGTCCACCCAAGGACTCCCCCACCTGTTTTTATCTCCACCCACAACCTCCTCCACCCACGCCACCCTCCTCTCCTACCTTCTGTCCCTCACTGCACAGCATCCCATGTGACCAACCCACCATCTCCCTTGCCCTCCATCCTTCCCATCCTCCACCTTTCATCCCTACATTCCTCCTCTCCTCCATCCATCCATCTTCTGCCATCTCAACCATCCACCTGGCACTTGGCCTTCTCCTCAGCCAGGGGATGTCCACCTGCCCACACCACCGCTTACATCGGTTGCCAACAGCTCTTCAGAGTCGTCAATGGAGGCCACAGTCACCTCTCCTTGGGAGACGTAACTGTAGTCGTAGGGGTTGTTGGTGATGAGAAGCATCTCTGCTCCGTGGCGGCCCAGGATGGAGACAAAAACTGAGCTCTTCCAGTGGCCAAACAGCCCCAAATCACCCTCAACTGCCCCAAGAAGGAGCAGAGAAGTT